CACACAGAAAGACCCTGATGTTGGAATTGAACTCAGGACCTTCTTGCTGTGCGGCAACAGTGCTAACCACTATGCCACCAATAAAAATAAATTAATAAATTAATAAAATTTTAATTATATAGCACCTTTCTAGATAGAATCACAAAGTGCTGCACATAAGATAAGTCATAAAAATAAAAAAGAGTATGATTTTTACCTAATAAGTAAATTTGTGATGCACACACAATTAGATTTATACTGAATATAAAAAATAACTCATAATCAGGTGATAACAAATTGGTCAAAGTTAAACACGTAAACATATTTAAAATTAATATTCTGTTTAAAGAAAGCCAAAGAAGTCCTTTCATTATTCATTTTAACATTGCTGCTGTTTTAATGTTCAGATAATGATGTGAGGGCAAAATGATGAAGTCCAGATTTCTGGGTGGATATGATATCAATGAAACCAGGCGTGAACATTTTATTAAGAGGCCGGGGTTTATCCAACAACACTGACTGTATCACAGGATTAAAGCATAAATCACAGGATATCAGTTTGTATACAACAATGAATGTCAGCTGACATAGTCAAACAGTGACTTTGTTCAAACAACTGAAACAAAACGTTTAACACTGAAGTGTTTAAAACTGTCAGGATGCCTGGGTCGTTGACCCGGAGTTTTGGGTTTATTATATTATTCATCGTTCCTAGTCTTTGGTTTCTTTGTTAGAGTTCTGTCTTATGGTTTATGTCTCTGTTCCCTCTGTTGTAGTGCCTGTCTGTGAGTCTGTCTGTAAGTTCAGTCTGTGTTATGTTTCCTGTTTTACTTTGAAAGTCTGTGTCTCATGTTAATGTGTCTGGTTGTGCTTCCTTAGTCTCGTTAGGCCTGATTTGCCCCAGCTGTGTTTCCCTCCTGTTTCCCATTCCCTGATTGCTCCCTCTGTGTATTTAAGCCCTGTGTTTCTCTGTGTCCGTGTCGCGGACCGCGAACAAGTCCAGACGCTCGTCTTCCAAGCGCCTTAGACTACCCTTATCTTCCCTCATCTTGCTGTGTGTTCTGTCTGCGTGAGCTTATTTTGTATTTTCAGTTTTGTTACCCTTTGGAGTTCAGCATTAAAGCTGTTTAAGTTCACGTTTGTGTCCAGAGTCTGCACTTTGGGTCCTTTTCCCGCCTGCACACAGCCGTCACATAACAGAAGATCGCGACCAGAACATGGACCCCGCAGACTCTTCAGCCTTTGAGTTTAATGCTGAGATGGAGCGGATTATTAAGCGTCTTGACCGCATTGCCCAGGCCAAGGATTTGAGGACCATGGCGGTCGGGCAAAGCGTAGTAGATGCTGTCATTCGGAGCAACCCTCGGCTTACTCAGTTTTCTATGGACACTGTGCTGGGCAGCTCCATAGCTGCCTGGAGAGAGCAAGTCAGGGCTGGCGAGCTTGCTCTCTCTATCTCCACCTCCACTTCTTTACCGCCGCCCCAGGACAACACACACTCTCCACCTGCCACATTGCTACCACAAACTTCTTCTCCCTCCCCATGCCACCCGGGACCTCGTTTGCCTGCCTTTTTCCTGGCGGCTATGTGGTCGGAGGATGAGGAGGAGGTCTCCATTTCTCCACCGGTTCCTGTTCCCTAATCCCAAAGGAAACAGCACCCTCGCCACCAACACTCCTCTCTTCAGTCATCTGTTCTGCCACCTGTTCCTGCTGAAGGGCCGAGGGGCCCGTCC